ATTGACAGGTATAAAGTTCGTCTGGTTACTCGTGGTTTTTCTCAACAATATGGCTTAAATTATGAAGATACATTCAGTCCAATTGCAAAAATGGTGACAATTAGAACACTCATTTCTTTAACGGCATGCCATGGCTAGAAAATGTGGCAGTTAGACGTGAAAAATGTATTTCTTTATAGGAAGTTAAATCGTGATATCTTTATGGAACAACCACAAGATTTTATCTCCAAGGACTTTCTAAATCATGTGTGCCGACTCAAGAAGGCATTATATGGTCTAAAACAAGCACCTCGTGCTTGGTTTGGTAAGATTGCTCATTGTCTTAATTTTTGTGGTTTCAAATCTTCTAATGCAGATCCAAGCTTATTTATTAAGAAGACTCCTATAATGTGCACTTTGTTGCTTTTTTATGTGGATGATATGATCATTACTGGTGACAATAGTAATGAAATAAATCGTTTTCAAGATGACTTGTCCATCCGTTTTGAAATGAAGAGTTTGGATGAAGCTACTTGTTTTCTTGGATTAGAGATTGAAAATTTAAATGGCTTTATTTTGATTCTCAGAAAAAGTATGCAGCAAGTTTATTAGATTGTTTTGATATGGAGTCGTCAAAAGTTATGACTACTCGTATGGATCCTGAACTAAAGTTAACCAAAGAAGGAAAATTATTAGAAGATGCAACACTTTTTCAACATCTTGTTGGTAGCTTATTCTATTTAACTATCACAAGACCAGATATTGCATATTCTGTAGGGGTCATATCTTAGTTTATGGACAATCCATGTGAGGGATATTTTAGTGCTGTAAAGAGGATTCTTCGTTATGTCAAAGACACTCAAGATTTTGGTTTGATGTACAAGTAACATGTTTCGTTCTCTTTGAATGGTTTTGTTGATGCAAATTTGTCCGGCGATGTGAATAATAGGCGTTCCACAATCAGATATATTTTTAATGCAGGTTCAGCAGCAGTCTCATGGTGTAATAAGAAGCAGACAACTGTAGCTCTTTCAACCTATGAAGCTGAGTACGTGACAACCACTATGGCCACTCAGGAGTGGTTCACTCAAGAAATGGTTTCTGATTTCAACTATCCAGTCCCTTTTTATTGTAATAATGAAAATGCTATCAAGCTTGCAAAAAATCTTGTATTTCATGCACACACAAAGCACATAGAGATTCACTACCATTTTTTACGTGAAAAGGTGTTAACTCAAGACATTGATCTGGTGAAGATATGAACTGAAAAGCAAGCCGCTGATATCCTCACAAAAGCACTTCCTAGAGCTAAATTTGAAATACTTCGCTTTGCTCTTCGTGTTAACTCTAAGCTTGCACCAAGGAGTGTCAAAGATTAGTGCAACTTACAAATCATGGTTGCTAAAAAGTTGCTGACAAAGTCAAGAATCTGTTTTTAGCTTTCCTTCTATTTAGGAATTTATTTGTTTGCCTTTCTTTAAGGAGCTTGTTGAGATAATAGTAGTAGCATGTTAGTTTTGTTGAGATAATGGCAGCAGCACGTCGGTGCTCCTGTAAACAAGCGGTTAAGATTTTTTAGGAACTCTTTTAGTATTTAAATCTTTCACGGTTAACATTTAATGTGAGATATTTTAAGTTATTTATTGAGTAATAAACTTCTTGTTCTGTTTTTTCCGATATATATCAAGTGGTTGAGTTTTTGTTTCACCGCCTTATCCATCACCTTGGACATTCTTCTGGAGAGAACCTTTGCTATGAGTTTGTATATGCTTACAACTAACCTCATGCGCCTAAAATCCTTAATATTGTGTGCCCCTCCCACCTTGGCAATGAGCACCAGAGAAGATGAATTTAGAGATTGAACAAATGACTCAAATTCATGCAGTCCCTTAGAGAATTCCAAGATATCATTATTCATAATGTACCAAACTTTCTAAAGAAAACCCATGTTAAAAGCATTCGGACCAGGAGCGTTGCCTTTTTGCACTTCACTGAGACCTTCAAAAATCTCTTTTTCTGAGAACTCTCTTTCCAAAGCTAGCCTGCTTATTTCATCCAAAGCCCTGAAGTTCATACCATTCAGTTTGAGTGTCCAGCCAAAATCTACTGGCATAACCTGCCAAAGTAATCTCTAATCTCTTTCCTCAATTACTCATTCCCTTTCACTGCCCTATCACTTATCTCCACTGTTTCCATATAGTTATTCCTCCTATGATGATTTGCCATAAAATTGAATTACTTTGTTTTTCTATCCACCTCTTTGATCCATTGAGCTCTTGATTCCTACCTCCAAGAAGTTTCCTCCATTTGTAATCTGGTAATTAGTTCAAATTTTAAAGACACTCCACCAGCCAAATCTTCAGTAGACAAAGCCTCATCTTCCTCCCTCCTATCAATAGTCTCGATCTCCTGAAGTAGCAACATCATATACAGGTCATACTCATCCCCTCCTCTTTACACCATTTCTTGATTTTGGCTTTCACTAGCTTCAGCTTCTGCACGACTCTGAAACTGGTCTTTCTATCTAACCTTGTACCATTCCACAAACTGTTGGACCTTGTCATAAAGACCATTGATTTTCAGCCACTTGCCTTTAAATTTGAAAGGACAAGAACCCCACTTAATCCCATTAGAGACTAGATAGATAGCAAAGTGGTCAAACATGGTCCATAACAGAAGTTTTTGGTATAGATCCGTAGCTTGTAAATGAGAAGATATCGATACCAAAAATCTATCAATTCTAGGGATGCCAATTTGAGCCTTCGACTAGACCAAGCCCATTTGCCACCCAAAAGCAGCAAAGTCCACAAATCTAGCCTGTCCAAAAGTCTCCTTTAATTTTTCAGCATAAATCTGCGAGAATTGCTCAACAGATCCCTCATGTCTGTGTTAAACCATATTGAAATCCTACACCCATGGTCAATTTGGCCTTCCTTTGTAATCCTCAAAATCTTTGCATAACGTTCTTCTCTCTCTCTTTTTAACCCTATCGTAAACCCTGGTGAAAACCCATTTTTGTCCATGTCTTTGATCTTTAAACAGACGGGAAATGGAACACTCACCCGCCAGAGTCTCCATGCATTCTATAGAACCCTTCTTCCATAACAAAGGAATACCTCTAGAGGCTCCACTAGCTGGTAGTTCTTTCCACCTAAACTCCTTAAACTTCCACAAACTCTAAATAATCGTCACTGATACAGTCTCCATTTTTGTTTTCTGCAGACAAATCACATCGGAGTTCCACTTGCTCATACAACCCCTAATCATCTATCTCTTATTATTATTGTGTATGTCATGTACATTCCAGGCAATGATTCAACCAAACACCTTTAATTGACACTCATCCCTCTTTACCCCTACTGTTTCCTCTCCTCGGAATATCATAATTGATAGTTGTCTGCAACATCCTTAGTTCTCTGGAATCTTCCATCCCCTACTTACCCTTCATCTTAACCTTCAGCCTTTCTTCCCTTGTCTTCCTCTTTCTTCTTTTCTCTATTTACTTGAAAAGTTTCATGACTTGCTCCTCTAAACCATCGAAGGTAACCCTTAACAAAGAACTGATTCTCTCAACGGTTTCTAAAACCCATCAGGAGTTTTCTTCATCGATGAAATAACCAATCTGCTCTCCTTGCTTTTCCTCCTCTACTTCTTCTATAATCTGTATTTTTGGCACCGGCTCCCTTCTGGAAACAGTCACCATCGTTGCCTCCTCTACCAGGACCACCGCTGTTGACTCCTCCACCAGGACCACCGCCATACTACATTCCACTCCTAACTCAAAGCATTAGCCACGGGCTGGTCTTATCTCAGAGCCGCTACCGCCTGACCCGCTTTGTCGGCCAATGACCCTCGACCCACTTCCCCTTCTCAGTCCAAGTGATCCTTCTACCCAGCCCAATGCCTCTTTGGACTCTCTAATCGGCCCATTTTCTGGATACACCTTCCAGCCCACTTTGCTCCCAAAACGACCAAGCCCCTCTATATTTTGGGCCCCAGCAAAAAGATGGAACACTATTGTGTTTTCGCCGGCCGATTTTGAATTTTGAACTTGACTCGGTCAACTTCAAGTCCGGATTCCTTCTTTTTTACCCGCCCTCCTGGCCCCAAACAGCTCGTAACCACCTCTGCACAACTCCATCTTTGCTTCAGTTCCACCTTCACCCGCAATTATGATCTACATATCGGCCAACATGGTGAGACCAGAGACTCATCATGCCCTTCTGATATGCTTCTCAACTATGTTGGCCTTGCTAGCCCGCGGCCCCTACCCTCCCTTGGGGAAACACACTTCTTCCTTGCCACGTCGTGTAAAGCTAACATCAACCTCCACCACCCATCCGCTTGCACACCTTTCGGCACGAAGATGGGTTTCACTGCGCCCCTGTTTTCCTCCGAAATATTCAAAAATCTACCTCTCAAATTTCAACCCAGTGCCAGCCATAAATTGTGTCTTCTTCCTCTCCTACTCCAGCCCCATGCCTTCCCACCTTTAGAACAGAAAAACTCCTAAATACACCTAGCAACCACTCCACTTCGTCCTCCCAAAATGTGATGGAAATCCGAAAACTCTTCCCATTCTCGCTAACCCTAATACCTTATGGACCATTTCCTTTGCAAACTATGTCAAAGATTTGTTTTCAATGGTTAAGAGGCATCTGCATTGGGAGAACATTTCACCACCCTAAAGGCAGTGGCACTCGTCGTACAAGGGTAAATCTTCTGTGTCTACCCTTAAGGCGGTGACCTACACCAGGAACTCTATCTTCTTGACTTCTTTGATTATCTAATGCGTAAGGCAATTAAGTTGACTGTAAAAAGATTTCCAACGCCGCAATTGGATTTATATATATCAAACCATGTCATGCCAAATGTTCTATCTATACAAGCTTCTAAAATTTAATAACAGAATAGTCTTGAAGCAATATAGAATGTAATGTATAAGCACGGTAACTGATCAAATACACGAAAATCTACTAAATGAATGCAGCATATCAAAGTTAAGAAATGTGCATGAATACCTTTGCAACTAGAAAGTCGGCCAAAATTCCATTTCCACCAAGTAATTCTCTCCCAAGGGCTGCTGTTTCTCTTGCCCTCAAGGTGATCCATGACTGGAGAGACAAAGGATTCATCATATTCAGGAAGCAAAGTACAGATATCAGGAAAGGAAAAAAATTAAAGTAAAATAAAAATTAAAGCATTCATATGCATGCTTGACATGTTCAAATTCAGCAACTGTACCTTTCCCAAACTGGCTTGACCTGGAGTCATTTTACCCTTCTCATACAATTTGCAGAGACGCCAGCCAACAAGCACCATTGCCTGAACATTACCCAACATCTGAACAAGTTTCTGTTGATTGATTTGAAAAGCTGCCAACGGTGCTCCAAACTGTTTTCTCTCTTTAAGGTACCTTATAATCATATAAAATTCAAATTTTGATAAATTCAAAGATAAGTAGTTAACTAAAAAGAACAGTAGCACAATACCTGTGACACATATCATAGATGCCCATTGATATACCAATCGGCTGCCAGGCTACCATCACACGTGAGACAGCCAGAACCTTTTAGAAAAATAGACCACTACATATCAGCATATACTCGAATTAACAGGAACCAAGATCCTGAAGCATCAAAGTGAAAAATTTGGAAGAAGAAATGAGAAATCAATCAGCACCATGGACATGTCTATTTATCTATATAAAAGTTTAAAGGCAATTGGATAGAAGGTGCAATCAGATGATCTACATCTCAGTTTTGCTTAAAAGAGTCACAATTAGGTGATGTAAGTCGTAGGAGTCAATGGCTAGGCACTAATCCAGCACATGCATAATAAAATGCTGCTAGCAACAATCTAGATCCATGCAATACGGAAGAAGATGAGACAACACAGAGAGGTAGAACAAATAATGTATAATCTATATATAAAGTTTGATACTCCATTTCCACATCAGAAAGATATTTAAATTGTTGAACTCTATATAAAGGTTAAACTCACACACAGATAACTTGAGCTTGCGTTTTGAAGGTTAGTGATTTGATTTTGAAAGCTAATAGATTAGTGGTTCTTAAAAAGAGGCTATATACTCATCCCTTGTCCTAAGATATGACAATAAACTAAAGGAATCATGCACAAGTTCTTCATCATCCTCCATTTGATTCCTATGGAGTGGACATCAACATCTAAAGCATTAACTTATTACATGTTGTTCAAAAAATTATTACACTTATGCGGTACTAGAGCAGAAGAAATCATGCTCTCGTAATTTCATTTCATAGCAGTTTCAGCATTTGAATTTGTAGTAGTAAAACGAAGCTATCTGGCTCTGGACCAACTATCCAAGAGGGTGATGCTGCCTTTAAGTATTCCAAGTAAACTGTTGTAGTGTAAACCTCTATAAAGCAGTATTAAATGTCATTCTCAGCCAACATTCTGTCCTACGGCCGCAAAGCATTTACAGTCTTAACATTCCAGGTCTCTGTTTATATTCTGGGATCAAAACAATAAATATTCTGAGCCAGAACAACTAGAGGCAAAATTCTATTCCATGTAGATAAGGTAACAAACCAATGATTGCACCTAGCAAAAAAAGTAGAATGGAACAAAAGGGATCATCCATTTGATGGAATCCATTAAACTGCACCTTATTGGTATCCTGAAACGAATTGATGCCTGGTAACCAGTCCTCATCAGGGACAAAGACTTTTTGTAAGAGAATATCTCCATTCTGTACCATACGCAGCCCAATTTTGTTTTGTATTTTTGTAGCTGTTAATCCTGGTGCGTCCTTTTTTACTATGAATCTGAAATAGAAAGCAGGATATAAGATAACTGATATTCATGCCAAAGTTAGAACATGCAAGGACCATATTTTCCCAGCATATTTCCAAGGCAACGAGGATATGCTCATCCATGATTGTCCAATCTTAGCTAGATACAGACGTTATCCCAAATAATATCCACCAATCCTAGATACATACATCCAATAATGTCTACCCAAGCAAAAAATCATTGATAGAAAGAAGTGCCACACAAATGGCATTTAACATACCCATTTATTTGACTTGTCGAAGTATTCCTAGCAAAAATAACTAACAAATCGGCAAATGTACTGTTTCCTATCCAGCGCTTTTGACCCTCGAGTACCCAACCCCCTTCAACCTGATCATCGACAACACAGACTAAGATTTAGAAAGTCAAATGCTGACGGCCGAACTGGGAAAAAAATAAACAAATAGGTAACGTAATAAGTTGAGGGGCTTGACCTTTGTTGCAGTTGTTCTCAAAGCACTCGCATCACTTCCATAGTCAGGCTCTGTTAAGGCCTAAGCATGTTTTTGAACCGTAAAAGAATCAAAACAAAGAAAAAGAAGAAAGCATTATTCTTTCTGTTGCTTTGGCATATGCAAATGTGAAATATATATTAAAGGTCCCAGAACATGCTAAAAGGAAGCAACTTACCCAACAAGCCACAGTGTTAAACCGAGCCAAAGAAGGTAAATACTTCTGCTTCTGTGATTCCGAACCGCACAATGCTATTCTTAATCAGCCATATTAGTTACATGAACTACTAAAATCTTCATGCATTTGAAATATTCCAAGACATGTAGAAAAAAAAAGAAAAAGAGAAAAAAGACAGTTGTGTTGAGATCTCACCAATTGTAAGCATTGCCAAGGATGAATGCACCAAAATGAAAGTAGAACAGCTCGCATCAACTCTAGCAACCTCTGCTGTAGCAATAGCACTGGCAGTGATGGACAAACCAGGACAACCATAACCCTGAATGATAAAGATCCTAAGCATCAATGTCCTTCCTTAAGAAAACAAGAACTGCAAAATGAAATAAATGCATAACTTACCTTGATTGTTCCACCAGCAATTCTCAAGGCGGCAAGCTTCGGAACAACGTGAAATGGAAACTCAGCCTTCTCCCAGTACTGGAAAAGATATGCAGAACATGGTTTACTATGAATTTTTCTGGGTAATATATAATATAAAATATAAAAATTATCTTATAGGTAAAAAAAAAATTGTTTAAAAAAACAATATGATAATACCTCTGTCATTACTGGAGCTACTTCTTTTTCCATACATTCTCTTACTTTCAAGCGGAGAGCCTGCTCCTCAGGAGTCAATAGATCATCAAACTGATAATAATCTGAAGCTGTATCATTTGAAGTTCAAAACATCAATATAAGTGAACAGGAGAAGGGTTACTCTACAGACTATAAGAGGAAAATGTTTAACCATTATGATAGAGACGTTACTAGATGTAAAACATATATAACATCATAAGGTACTTAAAGCTGCTTTGACTATGAGAATGGAGATTGATGTATCAGGACTTCAAAATAAGTATAGTTTCAACTTAATTTAAGAAAAGAAAAAAGTAGATAACAGAAGACCTCAGCTATCTTACCCCTTAACTGCCCAAGCTAAATGCAACAAACTCGAACTTGTATATATTTGGTTTATAAGCTTGAAAATGCATTTGTTTATCTTTTTAGTAAAAATATAATATATAGTATATATGTTATCAGAATATATAATGTACTTTAAATTTTATTAATACTTCACATCACTATTATAATATATAAAATCTGAACTCATTCAGGATAGACTCTGTATAATTCTCCAACTTAAAATATAAAATTTGAGCTCAAACTCATCTAACCTGGGCTATCTGTTAAATTTCTTTCTAACAGAGCTCAAACTTTGTTGTTCTTTAAACGAGTCCAACTTGAGCGTAAATAAAGTTCAAAATAAGCTTTGAGTCAATCTTCTGACACTACTCAAAAATCAAACTTGAATACTTATGCGTTCAGCTTGGCTTGGCTCATTGCCAATCCTACATCCTCTCCCCACAACGTACCCACAACACAACACAAAAGGAAATGGGAAAAGGGAATAGGAAAAGGAAGTAGACGGAAGAAGTGAAGTGACAAATTGGCGTAAAAGCCAAGTTCCCACAACGTACCCACAACACAACACAAAAGGAAATGGGAAAAGGGAATAGGAAAAGGAAGTAGACGGAAGAAGTGAAGTGACAAATTGGAGTAAAAGCCAAGTTCCAATAAACTCAGCTACCAGGACGAAGTTGACAAAGAAGCATGATATGATATTCTAACAATTTATATAGGTAACAATGCAAATTATTTTTGGGAACCCAGTCTTCATGTGGAATGGGAATAATCCAACAAAACCAATTATCATTTTTCTTACCACAAGGAGGAAATATAGATGCTGGAGTTGCTTGAGGAAATGCCACAGAAATATCCAGTGCTGGTGAATTAAAATAAGCACTTCTTTCCCTTTTGTTCCCATCTGCAAAGTATGAAAGCACTAATTTCACTAAACAAAAGAAACCTCTGTTAATAACTAGGCAGACATAGGCGCAGCCCTACATAACTCATTGGTCTAAGAACTGTGCAGCATTTAAATTATATTATATTTATGCTTCTAACAAAATCTTCTACATACTATAATCTCGAAAAATCTTTCTGACGGAGAAGTATCTTCTACATACTTCTAAAGCAAAAATGCATTAGGAACGCTCAATTCAGCTACCAATAAATAGATTTTTACATTTGAGCCAACAATATTTAGTCAGAATATTCCCCTTTACCACGTATTAGAGCACAGACATACACGACATCCAAGTAGTCGCTTTGTTCGGAGAGTTCAAGAAACCAAGTTCATAACATTAGGTTCTATAGATGCATAGGCCTTGGTTCTCCTCGGTCGATCAAATGACCAACATGCGAGTCTCTAGATTTCCACCTCGTAGCAGAAGAACTTTTATAAAATCAAACGGGCCGTTTTAAAATATCAACAATTGCTTTCATTAATCTGGCGTACATGGATATCATATTATACACATAGTCTATGAAAAGCTAAAGCAAGTTCTAATTGAGTCCTGATTTTGAAGGATCCAAATTGAATCACAAAGTAATAAATGCATCGCAGTAAGGATCAATTACTTGTGTATATCCAAACATGGGTATCAAACATTAAACTATATACCTCGATTTCTTATCTGATTAATTTAGAGTTGACAGAATCATTAAGAAATGAAAGAAAACAAACCATGAACTGAAAGCTAAGAAGAAAACTAACTGGATTAAAAGAAAGATATCTGTTTATAAGGATCACCTGGATTTGTAGATGAGGGAAGTGTCATGATGGAAGAAGAGAAACTGTATGATATTGAGGGTAGGATTCTGTCGAGGTGAAAATGGCAGTGGAGAGATGCAGCTGATGCTGATGAATGATAATCTGGTTCGGTTTCTGAAGTAAGCAAGAGAGGAAGTAGATAAGGCCAAGGCTGATAGCATGCGTTGAGTTGACGATCGCGGCACGCAATTCTAACTGCCCTCGTGGCAAGTGAAATTTTAATAAAAATACAAAAAATTATTATACTTTAATTGTTTTTTAAAAAAAATTGTATAGATAAATAAAGAGGAAAGAAAAAAAAATGTAATTAAAAATTTTATATAATGGATAATTCTAAAATTTGTAATGAAACATTAATTTATTTTTACATTTACAAATTAAATTTTTTTTATATTTTTTAATTAATTTAAAATTAAAATTTATTTTTATATTTAAAAAATTTAAATGACAATTATTATGTATAAATTATCTATGTTGTGATATTAATTTTATTTTAATATATGAAAAATGTATTTTTATTCAAAGTTAAAATATATAACTATTACATATATTCTATGTATTAAGTATAAATAATTAAAAAATTGAGAATTATATTCATAAATTCTAAATACATAACTACTTTATACATCATCACATTATATTTGTATAACTAAAAAATTTAAATTAAATAATTATTATTTATATTTATTATATTAAATATAAAAATTTTATAAAAAGAGAAGGTAAATTTTATATTTAAAATTTATATAAATTAATTAGTAAATTGATTAAAATAAAAACCACAACGTATAGACACTGGTTAATGATTAATTGAGGCCAATATGTGCATAATTATATATAAATTGAATTATTTAAATATCTTAACCTCATCCCATTTTCTTGGCAATCATATCCAGAATTCAAGTTTATTGACGGGAGTGTTTTGATAATTAGTTTATATTCTTTTCTTTTATTCATTTAAAAATTCTCTTTTTGATCTATGTGTTTTAAATAATAAATTATTTTTTAATTATTTATTCATCTCTATGGTTAATTTATTAGATATATTTGGTCGATATAATATGTTGTCTCCACAATCGTCTTTATGCATGCAATTGAAAATGTACAATCAATATTGGTAACTTGTGTTACTTTAATAGTTAATTATTCAATTACTTTGTTATCTTCTTCAATCATTGTAATTACATACCGGACGGAGTATGGAGACAGCCCTGGAATCAGTTTATTAATATTAATGGTTCACGTGTAGCAGAGACCCCCTATGGATCCCTATTGATACTAGTAGGCTGGTAAAAGAGGAAATTTGTTGTCTGATTATTGACGTGCAAAAATATGACATGTGTTATGTTACAAAGTGTATATGATTTTATGATGGTTATAATGCTATTATTTTCATATATTATTTTCACAAATCTCACCGAGATAAGTGGACAGTAAAGGTTTTTATTATTAATAAATGAGTTTGTTATAAATTATGTTCCATTGGTCGTTTTTGTTTTCTACCAACCTTTACTTCTGTAGCGGTGAGATAGTGTGATGTCTTTACTTCGCTAGTGTAGCTCATTCCTTACTTAACCATTTCAGATCAGGAAGACGTGGTTCCCGAGCCCATTCCGCAAGAAGACGGTGAGTTAGACGCCTAAAGACTTTATAGTTTTATTTATAATTTTTATTTTGAGTATTTCTTTTAATTAGCTTATTCTTTCATATGTTGAATACGTTTTTGGTTATTGTGTAAGGGATGTTAATCAGAATTTTTATTTCGCTTCCGCATTTAAGATTTTTAATACATACATCTTCACTTAAATTTCCGGGGCCGTCACAATTTTAATACATACATCTTCACTTAAATTTCCGGGGCCGTTACATTAAATGTATGTATTATTGTCTTACTTGACTACTGTTTGATTTTGGGATCTAAGATATGATTGCATTACCATATTCATATTTATTTGTTTATGTAATTATGTTTGATTTGGTAACGGAGACTAAGAAAAAATAGGAAAT